CCCCCCCCCCCCCCCCCTGGGACACCTGCCGCCGTGGGCGTTTATGCAGGCTCCTTGATGTGGACAGAAACCCCAGCCCATGTGAGGCCATAGGGGAGGGCCCCCCCCCATGCCCGGGGACAGAGTCTCCCCCTCACGCCCGGGGACAGGGCCCCCCTGTTACCCCCCCCCCCCACCTGGGGACAGCCCTACCAACGTGGACGCCTCTCTTCTTCTTTCCAGGGCATCGTGCAGCAGTTCCTGGTGCTGCTGACGACCAGCTCGGATGAGAGTCTCCGGTTCCTGAGCTTCAGGTTGGACTTTAACGAGCACTACGAGGCCCGAGAGCCGAGGCTGCGCGTGTCCCTGGGCTCCCGAGGGCGGCGCGGCTCCCACGCGTGAGCCCTCCCCGGGCCGCCGAGCTGGGACCGCGGACGCGGCGTGCACGCTCCTGGTGGCGGCGTCTGTCGAATCTAAGGCCTGGTTTTATACGTGGAGTTGAATATATTTGTAATATCACCGAGTTAAATAGGCTGGTTTGCAATATTCAGATTTATTTTTTAAAGTCTTCATATTTAAGAGATCCCACACTTCGTTGAGGCTTCGTAAGCTCTCCATGATATAATTTATATTTGTCACTTTTTCAGAAATACCCGTTGCTTTTAGAGAAAATTAGAACCAATGGATGTTCATCAGTTAAGATGGTAATGTTGTTGCTATTTTTTTAACCTCCTCCTCAGAGGCAGTTTCTGTTCTGTAATCAAACTGTTGAAACAGAATGTCCTTACTAAGAAAATATACAGAGCATTTTATTTTGGTTCATAGTGTATAAAATGTTAACCTCTGTAAGAACCTTTACACGTTTATTCTTCTTTCAAAGTTTACATTTTTATATTTAATTTACTCTTCGAGATAACTTCTGAAATAGTGTAGGACGTAGGGGTGATCTGAGCCACCCTCAAGCCTAGACTTCCTCACCTGTCGGCCGAAGGGACGATGTAAATACGGAGACTAGGAACTGAATGAACTATTTTATTTTCAAATTCCGATGAGCATTGGAAAGAAACTGACTCGAATAATGAAGATTTCTTTTTTCCTTCCTATTTTTTCACTGTAAATATTTATATACTACTGATCAGATGTGGGGGGACTGTTTTTTGTAACAATGTCATATCAAGTCACATAAATCTGCCTTTATTATGTTGCATAAGTGAAACTTAGAGAATTAAAAGCCCTCACCTTTCACTGTATCGGTTCTTCCCTGAATGGAGCAGCCGTGAGGAGAGCCGTCCCCTCGCCAGGTTGCAGGCACGCTTGGGGACAGGGGTGACTCTCAGGGCTGGCGCTGCCCTCTAGCCTGCCCGGCTGTCCCGCCCGGCTCCCCGGGGTGCTTGGGCCCCCTCTCTGCAGAGTGCGTCTGAACGCCATAGGAGAGCAGTTTGGTTTCAGTGGAAGAGTCTGTAAACGTGGGACTTGGAGCCGGGTTCTGTCCCGGCAGGCGGCCTGGGAACGCCCGTGTGCCGTGTGTGGTGAGCCTCCCGTGGGACGTTCCCGAGCCCGGCCAGAGCGGAGCGAAGGAGCAGTCGGCGCTGGCGCGTGTGGCGGGGTGTCTGCGTGCCCCCCGCCCCAAAGCAACCTTTCTTAGGCTTTTCCTGGGGCGCATCTTGCTGGCAGAGGCGCAGAATTGAGAGAAGGCCCAGGCGGCGGCGTGGGGGGGGGGGGGGCTCTGGCCACCGAGTGCAGAGATGGGTGCACCCCCCCCCCCCCCCGAGGGTGCTGGGCTGCAAAACCACCCCGGAGTTCTCTGGAAAATCCTCTCCGTGCAGGCACCGATGTGGACCTTTTGTGAAAGCAAAGTGGCGTGATGTGGGCTTTGGAAAGCAGGCTTACCTGTGTCCCCGAGAGCTGTCCCCCAGGCGTCTGACCTTGACACCTGTTGACAGCGTTCCTCCTCTAGTCCTGAGCACAAGCCACTCTGGAAAACGCGAGCCCGGATTTGGGGACAGAAACTCCGTTTGAGCTGAGGAGGCACGACTTGCGGGTTACGGAGGCCTCTCGGGGGGGCCCCCGGGTGGGGGTTTCTGGCGGAACTGTGGGCCTGGTAGGTGAGGGGGCAGCACAGAGGGCCCAGCAGCCCGGGTCGTCTCAGATCCCACGGCGGCGGGAGAGCCCGCCGCAGGGGTGAGTCGTCCCTGGAGGCAGGTGCCCGGCGTGGCTCCGGGCGGGCCGGCCGCTGCGCCAGCCAGGGCACGGCCGTGGTGCTGACCGTGCAGGCCTGTTGTGTGGGTCAGACAGGACGGTGTGCATGTCCTGGACGGAGCGCCTGCGTCCCGGTGTGTCCCGGGCAGCTCAGGGGAGCCCAGCCCGGCTTTCCTACCACTGAGGACGCCTCTTCCCGCCCGGCAGGCTCGGGTGCTGGGGCTGCAGGCGCGCGCGATTCTCCCAGCCCCTGGGACGCCACGGGACAGCCAGCACGAAAACGTCACTAGGAAGTAAGCACTTTTGTCACATAGGCACAGTCTCCGTGAGGGGATGAGTGTTCCCAGGAACTGGCACCCGGGGGTCTGGGGACTGAGCCGGGGGGCCAGCGGCCTCCCTGTGGGCAGGGCCCCCGGGCGCGGAGAGCGCTGCTGTGCACGCTGTGGCCTCGGCTGGGAGGACAGGCTTCCCGGCCGGCCTGCGTGGAGCTGCGTGTGGCCGGCTGGGCCTGGTGGCCGAGAGGGACGCCCGGCCGCGGAGGGGGGGGGGGGGGTACGCTGCCGGAGCAGCAGGACTTTCGGGCGCGTGGAGACGCGAGCGCGGCTCCTCGGGAAAGGCAGTCGCTCCCCTGGCCACGGGGGGCTCGGGCTCGCTGGGCAGAAGCTGCTGATGGTGCCGCCGGCCGTGGGGCGGAGGTCGCGGTCCTGAAGTCGTGGTGGTCCATCCCGGTGACGCAGCCGGGCTTCGGGGGGTCCGGTGCCCGGCGCGTGCTGGTGGGCGTGTCAGCAGCAGCCGTTTCATGTTCTGCTGTGGTTCTGAGCTCCACGCTCCTCTTTCTAGGAAATCGCGGGCCTTCGTGTTGGTTGGCGTTGATGGCGGTGTGGATGCCCTCGTGGTTACTGAGATACCCCCGTTCGAGTCGTAGCCCCTCATTCCTGATCGTGCGTGTTCGTGCTTTCTGCTTGCTTCCTGGTCACTTTGGCCGGTGCGGTCACGGTGTATGTCTTTCAGGAATTACCTCGTGATATTACCATTTTGCTACACACAGATGCGCGTTTTTTGCTTTATTTTTAAATGACTTCTGTATTTAATATGTTCCTCTTCTCCTTTGGGTTTATTTTTTTTCCTGAATTGAAAGCTTATGGAATTTCTCTTCCTTGTGTTTCTGATGGAGTCATCTCGGCTTTGACCCACATCCCGGGCTGGCCCGGAGTGCACCTGCCATGCCCTTCGTTCCCCCGCTCTGGCCGGGACCTCGAGGAAGTTTCTCTTTCCCTCACTTTGTTGTTGCCGAAAAGGAAGAATAACAGAAGGGTACGCAAACGTGTCAAACCACGTCCAAAAGTGGAACGCTCCCGTGCGAACGGCTAGGACGCCAGCGCGGAAGGAGACGCCCACAGCGAGAGGGAAGCGCCCGGCAGCCGGCGCTCGTGTGCCCTGAAGTAGGTGAGGGTCCCCGCGCAGGTGGGCGGCTCGGCTGCGGGCAGACCGTGTGGGGAGACCTTTGCGCTCCCTGCACACGGGGAGACGCGTTCACCTGTTGACCCTCAACGTTGTTTCCGGCGTTTGCTATAAGTGATTCGCCGTGAACAGCTGTGTCAGCGCCGCTCGGGATAAATGCCGCCGCGTCCCCGGAGGCTGGGGGAGGGGCCCGCGGCTCACGTCGCGGAGCGTGGCCGGCGCGGGCAGCGCGTGCGCCCAGAGCTGCGGGCTCCGCCCGTCCGTGTCCTCGCGGGTGTGCGCCGGCCTCTCGCGGGGGCTTTAACTTGCCGTTTCTCTGGTGTCTAATGGCCCCGGGCGTGTGTTCATACGCTCAGCGGCCGTGAAATTGTGTCTGCTGAGAGATTTTCCCGTGTTTTTTTGGGTTTTTGTTTTCTTACAGAGTTTTGAGAATTCTTTACCTATATCTGGATATTCATTCGTCTTTGATCGTACAGGTGATTTGCAAACATATTCTCTCTGTTTAGGCCTTTTTAAGAGACGTGAGCGTCCCCCAGGCTCTGTGCTCATCAGCAAAGACTTTTATTTCCGTCCGTGGCGTGGCCAGGCTCCCGCGGGCATCGTTTGCAGGGAAGAGACTCTGGACCAACGAGAATGTGTAGAGAATCTTAACAAAGCTGCTACTGCTTGTTGTAACCACAGACCGAAGCTTGTCAGAGGACGTGATGTCTGTGTATCAGCCTGCAACTAACCGAGAGTCCTCTCCGCGATTGCAGTCGTTTCCAGTTGTTGTCGACTTCAGATCGTACTGTGAGCTTGGAGCTGCCGGTCCCTCACGGGTGTGGAGCGCTTGCACCCTGCCTCCTCTGAACTACACGGCAAATCCCAAATATTTAGTATGAAAAAAGGAATGTAAAATAGCTCAATATTTTTTCATACAGTACATGTTGAAGTGATATTTTCTATATGTTTGCTTAAATAAAATATATTAAAATTAATTTTGTCGGCTTTTTTTCTTTTTAAATATTGCTACTAGAGAGCTGTAAATTACCTAAGCATCTCCTGTGTGTTTCTGCTGGAAGGTGCTTTTTCTGTTCTGTTCAGGACCCCTGTCCTGGGCCCCTGTCCCTGTGGGTCCCCTGTCCTGGGCCCCTGTCCCTGTGGGTCCCTGTCCTGGGTCCCTGTCCCTGCAGGTCCCTGTCCCTGTGGGTCCCCTGTCCTGGGCCCCTGTCCCTGTGGGTCCCTGTCCTGGGTCCCTGTCCCTGCAGGTCCCTGTCCTGGGTCCCTGTCCTGGGCCCCTGTCCCTGTGGGTCCCCTGTCCCTGCGGGACCCTGTCCTGGGCCCCTGTCCCTGCGGGTCCCCTGTCCCTGCGGGACCCTGTCCTGGGCCCCTGTCCCTGCGGG